CCCCCGGGGTCCGGCCACCATCCCCTGCCTCCCTCCCCTACTGCCTCCACGTCTTCCACCTGCAGGCACACCCGGCCCTACACGCTACACTGGCCTGCCGGTCTCGCCTAGCCCGCCGAGCCAGCCCCTGTGCTCCGGCTCACCTCAGCCCAGTCCTGGCTCCAGCGGTCAGTTCAGCACAGGCATCGGGTGCCCAGCAGGGGCCAGGACAAGGCGAGAGAGACCTGAAAGGGACAGTGTCCTCCCTCCTTCTGCTGTTCCTGCCAGCACCGACTCCCAGCCGAGGTGTCCTGGGACTCCCAGAGGGAAAGCGACGTGTGTGTGTGTGTGTGTGTGTGTGCACACATGTGCTGAGAAGCTAGGGGACAGAGACATACCACGAGCGGCAGAGGGCCTGGGGCCAAAAGCCTGTGAATCAGGATTACGACATCCTCCCTCAGGAAGTCAGGTCCCCTGTCCCCAGCGCCCTCGCCCCACTTCCACTGCGCCCGAGGCCGCGCCCTCCTGTGGGCGCCATCCCAAGGCGAGCCCCCCAGAGCTGGGCTGCACTGCTCCCATGCAGGGGAGGGGGCTCCGGGACTCACGGCTGACCTCAGCTCCCCTCCTCTCTTCCCCTGCCCCTCCCCAGTACCTGCTCCTCCTTCAGGACCAGGAGACGGATCAGGGCGAGGTACAGCCCTCTCCTGGCAGCAGTTAGGTGGGGGCCGTCGACTCCAGACTGGAAGCAGAAGCTCGGGAGGGGGTTGGCCTGACTGAGGGCAGGGCAGGAGGGTGAATCACAGACTGGAGTTTTCCACAGTACCTGCCCTCGCCGCCTCAAGGCGAGGCTGTAGCCCCACCACCACTACCCTCTTCTTGGGATTTTCCCAGAGGAGGCGCTCAGCCCGGCCCAGGAAGCACATGGCTACAGGCCAGCAGACCTGAGTTCCAGCTCCCAGGCCTGCGCTGGCCAGCCCAGCCAGGTAAGGGCTTCCCCCTTCAGGGGTGAGTGAGGGTTAAAGACCACATGGCAAATTGGGGCCAGCAGGTGGTATGGGGGTTAAGGCGCTGGATCCTAGATGGCCAGCTTTGCAGTTCGAGTCCTGGAACTGGCCTCTGGAGAATCGTAAAGGGTGATATACATGCATGCCCTAAATCCCAAGAGTGGAAGAGATGGGGGTGCACTGTGGCCACCCACCCCCCACAAAGGAGATGTCTCACTTTCCCCCTCTCTCTGTAGCTCTCTCTGGTGAGAGCATGTGTCCCATAACAAACATTAAAAAAAAAAAAAAAAAAAAAAAAAAAAAAAAAAAACGGACAAAAAAATTAAAAAAAC